TTTTTTTGTAAATGCATTGAAGCTGCAATTATATTCTTATGAATTACTGAAGTGTGCAAAAAATTTACCAAAGAAATAAGGCATTGAACCTGCATTTTTACATATACAAAAGCCTTATATATTAAGGCAAGAGTATCCACAAAAAACCTAATGGCATTTCTGCTGAGTTGTGCTAAAGAACAAACCCAAAATTCACAACACCAGCCATGAGTTTACTTCAGAATGCCATAAATGTACAAAAAAATGGTCAACGCCCATTACATACTTCATGATTCACACACAAGAAAAAGGCGCAGTTAACAAAACTAGCTTCCTAAATCTTCATTGCCAACAGAAGTGGCAGCTGAGTTTCTCTTCCTTGGTCCATTTGGGGTACTTGCTTTCCTCTTTTTCTTCCCAGTTTTTCTTGAACTTTGCCTCTGCCCCTTCTCCTGTACAACCAGAAAAACAAAGTTTAGGTACCAGTGTGGATATTTACTCCAGACAAAGCAAGAACAGTTACCTGCTGTGTTGAAGCTATTGTATCTTTCTGCGCATGAGACCTTTTGTTATGCCCAATTTGCCCACATACAGTGCACTTCATTTTGACAGTTCCCTTCCTGCTTAACTTCACAGTGTCACCTGCTCCAGATGTAGGCGGTTGAGATTGTGATCCAGCCTGCACATTTTCCCTGTCATTTCCTCCCTCAACTTCTTCTGGTTGTTTCCTTCTTGCCCTCTGTTTTTTCCCCTTCTTCTTAGGTGGGTCTGCTGGTGGGATGATCGGAGTTCCATCTTCATCGTTGGGCCACATTTCCATCATGTTCACTGGGTTGATGTAGTGACTATATAGCTGTAGGTAGTTGGAAACCAAATACTGCTTGTCTGTGTAAAGATCTGGGTCCTCATTGTTATCAAGAATGCAAGCAATGGCATGTGAGCAAGGAGTGCCCGTCAAATCCCACCTTCTACATCCACAAGTCTGTGTAGCCAGGTCAACAACATACTGTAACCCACCGGGACCTTCAACTTGATACTTAGACCCTCCAGAAAAGGTTGGAATGAACATGTGAGCATGTTCAGTATTTTGTGCAACTTTAGCTCTAATTTTAGGGCATAAGGTATCATTCACATTGTCCATTACCTTCTTCTTAGTAGCCAACCTCTTCATGAGTTTAGTCCTAATCATCTCCAGCATGATAAGAATGGGTTTTTCTCTTGCATCTAAAATGTACTTGTTGAATGACTCAGACAAGTTATTTGTTAACATGTCACATTTGGGGAAAGTGCTAAATTCTGCCCTAGACCAGTTCTTGGTTGGCCTTGCTTTCAACCACTCCCTTGCCTCTGGACATTTATCTTCTAGAAGCTTTAGGCACCCCAACAACCTTGCAGGATAAGAAGCCCTGGCACAATCCCAGAGTAAGTCCTTTAACTCTGACCCCTTGAAGTGATTCCTATAATTGGTATATAAGTGTCTCACACACATCCTATGCTCTGCTTTTGGGAATAAACTAGCAATTCCGCCTACAAGACCCTGGAATATTAATA